TTTTTTTGGCTGTATTTTCTGAGATACTTCATAAATTTTATCTTCCAACTCTTCTACTGAGTTTTAATTTCAGATGTGCTTTTATTTACAAAGAGTTCCCCTTTTGAAATTTTTGAGTGTTGCTTTTAAACAACATTCTCTTATTTTATATAGTTTTGTCATTTTCTCTTAATTCTCTGGGAATATTGATATTGGGGGGGGTGGGGGGAAGATTTCTTTATCTTGCTTTGTTTTTTCCTCCAAGTAGCTATTTTATTTCTTTGTTTTGGTTTTATCTTCCATGTTTTCTCAGATGTCCCAAACTCCTTGTTGTCTGCTCTGTTGAGTGAGGGATGGAAAGGCTGGTTGGAAACCAAGCTCATGAATGGGACTTGTTGACCATAGGCTTCACTGTAGAGTGATTGACTGGGCCAATTATTTGAGGACTCTCTGATATCTTCCTCTGGGAAAGTTCAAACTCTTGGAAAAAGGCTATTCTTACCTCCTGCCTGGAGGGTGAAGGCCTGGGTGCCAATGTTCTGGACTCCAAGTGAGGGGAAAGCGTTTGTCCGCCTAATTTCACTGTTTTCAATATACCTTTGCCCCAATTTTATTTAATATGCACCCAGCTCAGAGATCCTGTTTAACCCTCTCCAGAGAATACACCTCCAGTCTTTTCCTGGGGTAGGCAGGAGTGGTTGCTCAGTTACGCAAAAGGAGAGAAGTGATCTGGGAATCTGAACCTTAAACTGACTTTTTGCTAATTTTTACCATTTTTTCTTTGATGGTACCTGGTACCACAAATCCTGAGTAAAAGTCAGGTTATTTTTTGATTTTTCCTTCTGCCTGCACAGAGTTCAGTTTCCTCAGCTCTGCTCTGTTTTTATCATTCTTCCATCTACATACTTTCCAGCCTTCCAAATCTTTGTGCTGTCATTGTGAATTGGTGCCTTGAAAATAATTTTTAAAAAATTCCTTTACAGTCAATTTAGAAGAGTTTTGGAAGGGAGTGGAAGAAGATGCATTGACTCAATCTGTCTTTTTCCCTCTTGATAACTTTTGATCTGGGACAGTAGTTTCAAATTTGTTTTTTCAGTGGAGTTCTGTCTTTAACTTAGATCTTATGCAGAAGCTCAGTCTAGAAAGTAGATATAAACAGAGCTGCTTTGTGTGAAGAGAAGATGAGAAGCTGTGGTTCTACTTTCTCAGTTTTCCTTTGCCCCTTCACTACTAGAAGGAGCCCATGGAAGGCATGGCTTCTAAACCATAGATTTAGAAGTTGTTGAACATGATTTCTCTCTCCAGTAGACATTAGAGTGAACTTTTTTTTTTTTTTTTTTTTTTTTTTTTTTGCGGTATGCGGGCCTCTCACTGTTGTGGCCTCTCCCGTTGCGGAGCACAGGCTCCGGACGCGCAGGCTCAGCGGCCATGGCTCACGGGCCCAGCCGCTCCGCGGCATGTGGGATCTTCCCGGACCGGGGCACGAACCCGTGTCCCCTGCATCGGCAGGCGGACTCTCAACCACTGCGCCACCAGGGAAGCCCATTAGAGTGAACTTTATGGCAGTATGGAAGGACCACTGATTTATTCCTTAAGAGATTAATTGTATTGCTTCCAATTTGTTTAAATGGTGCAAGACAGAGAAAGAGCTCTTCAAAAACTTTTTGATTTGAAATAAAATTGGACTCTGGACCTCCTTGCAGGCTAACCTTATCATCATAAAAATGCTATTTTTATTTGAAAGGAAACTGTATAAATTTTCCTGAATATTAAAAAATGTTTAACTTGCTTATACATTTTGATAATTGAGGATGTTGGAAATTCCCAATTTAATTTTAGAGAGCTAAAATGCTGTTTTATATTGGCTTGCTCTCAGAGCCAATGTTTTATCCAAAATTATTTACTTAAATAGAAGAGTGAGAGGAAGCTTTAGGGCCAAAATATTATTTAGAACTCATTCAGTATGAGCATCATTGAAACTGTGCATGATTTAGCTTCATATTTATGTGCAGTCTCTCCATTAAAAACGTTGTTATTTCCTTACTTCTCCACCTTTCTGTGGCACAGACCATCAGTTACCTGATGAAACCATGGAAGAATATGGAAGTATTTGCACACTGCAGGTCACTCAAAGGTCCAGTGGGGAATGGACACCAAGATTTACAAACCTTGCCAAATAAAATGTGTATTTTCACATGTCTTTAAGATGACTCAGTGAATTTTTGAACGTAATAAGAAAAAACAAAACAAAACAAAGAAGCGAACTAATGAACAGAAACCAAAAAAACTCCTTTACAAGTGTAGAGCACCAAAATGAAGGGAGTACAAATAGATCTTTTTGGAATCATACACTTGGAATCTGACTTTCTGCTGTTATGTGTTTGACACTAGCATCATTTCATAGAAGACTCAGGCATTATCTTGAAAAAATATTGCCAGTTGTGCTACAGAAAAGGGTTTATATGTTTCATTTGCAAGCATGAGACACCTTTAGAAAGGAGAAACAGGGCCCAAACTCTTATGAGAATCACCTGGTATTTTTGATGGCTTTTGTGTATTGAAAGGGCTCTTAACAACAACTGAAAGAGTTGCTCTGCCTGTGGCCTCCTTTGGAGGCAGATGATGAATGGGATGTTGACTAAAAACTATTCACACCCTAAAGGTTGAGGGTTATGTTTTATTCGGAGGGAATTTTTAGCTCTTCAAGCCCAGGAGGCAGCATCTCAAGGAACCCTGAGAGAACTGCTCCAGGGAGGCAAGGCGGGGGCTAGGATATATATGAACTTTGCAACAAAGGGCAGGTAGTCTGAACGTCAAAAATTATTGTTAATGAAAGAAAACCAGATATCCCAAGTTAAGGAATTTAACGCTTTTCTATGTATGGGAAGATGCAGGAGTCTGGGCTCACTGAAATCATTCCTTTGAAGTGCACCTCAGCTGTCTGGGGCCAGTATCCTGTGTTTTCATATCCTGAGTTTCCTCAGGGCTCACCATGGAGAATGGCTGCAGTTTGATGGCTGCTAGATGGCAGGTATGCTTTTCCTTCCTGAGTTTCCTTCGTTGGCTTGTGGCTGCAATCGCTGTTGACAGTGACATCCTTTGTTTACTGTTATGGCAGGCAATATTCCATTTATCAGGGACATGGGACCTCTCTAAGACACGTCTAGTGGAGCGCTGAGAGATGGATGAACAGGTACCTGAGGAACGGTACTCTTTCAACCTTCTTATAGAAGAGTATCAAAATGGGAGAAAACATTCACTTTGTAGAGCTGTTAACTGTAGAAAAGGAAAAGTCTTGGGAAAGACTGTTTCTGGGAAAGCATATGTTTTGATGACTGTGCAAGTCACATGAAAGTTGCCTGTGAACACACAGGGAACACTTGGTTACATGTGACCACAACAGGGCGTGTGTACCATGGCCTCAACTTGCTTCTTGATGACATCATGAAGCTGGCTTTTCACCGAAGGATTCTGAGAAGAGCCAAAATGTTGTGAAACCTGCAGAAACCACGCATTGCTGCTGTCTTTGAGAAGCCAGAGAAAACCAGCAAAGAACTAAATCACGTCACTAGAGCTGTGTTGCAAAACCATTGGTCAGATGGGATTATCTGCTCTTTGATAACCTTTTGAGAAAAATAAAGCAGCTCTTCAAGCAAGCGACATACCTCTTTCTCCTGAGGTCTCCACTGTAAATAGTTAACCTTGGTTTTATTTATTTTAAATCTTTTGCACATAGACCTCTCACCTTTGGAATCTTGAGTGAGACCATGTGAAGTGGGAAGCAAGGCTATTATCTGTGAGTGGTCATGGGGGAGGACCCTGACTCCGGGATCTTCCTTGCTTCACCACCTTTACCTCTGCTTTCTTATACCCTCCTCTCTCTTTCCGTTTTTCCCCTTTTTGGTCTGTTTTCACGTTCACAGGCGTTCCTGCCTTTTACAACCCACTTTAGTTGGATCTTTCTTAGTGGTTACTTGAGTCTGGGTTGGCTGATCTGAACCAGTGCCCCTTTGCATGGTGGGCAGTGGAGGCAAAATGTAACGTGTGAAATCACTTTATAAATGGCAAGGTGATGCTCTAACAGGTGGGTTGTTATTATCTTAAGCATTATCATAGGAAGTGGTTCATCCCACAGACAGTAGTCCCTCCCTGGGGGCTTGTTCTGAGCTTTATTCTTAGCTCCTCTTATCGTCCCACCAACTCTTGCTTCCTCTGGCTCTTATTGTGATGTCCACTCTGGATCTGATCTGCCTATTTCCATTCTCTGTCTTTCCCTTCTTCTTGTTATGACGTATCTGCTCTCTCTCATTTCCTCAGAGGCTTCTTGGGAAATGATTAATTTTGGTTTTCTAAGCACATTGAAGCTAAAGTGTCAATGGCGAACAGATTTGATGTTAACACGTTAGGGAAACTCACTTTTTAAGTGGAGACTCCTTGAACTCCAATATGGAGCCTGCCAGTGAAATTTTAGGCAGCGTGAGCAGTCACTAGAAGGGAAAGGGAGCCTTTGCTTAGTGTTTCCGAGACGTGTGCATATGTATGACTTCTTATTCCACCCATATATAATACGTGCAAGATATGGAATAAAATACTAACTTGGGACATGAAGGGTCAGGGAAGGTTTGTGGTCATGGGAGGCAAACAGGGATAAGGACTTTTTCTGACTTTTAAGGAAAAGTTAGAAAAGAAATAGTATAGTGAGAAATGTAGTGCAAAATATGAGTATTTTCAGTCACCCTTGGAACCTCTGTTCTGTTACCATGTTCCTACATCTGGCCCTAATGAAGAACAGGCAAATACAGGTTTGGCAAACAGAGACAGGGTGTCATTGAGCTGGGAGGGATTTGCATGCCCCGGGAAATCACGGGGATCCTCTTTTCAAATCCTGGAGGACCGGCAGGGGTGGGGGGGGGGGTGGGGTGGTGGTGGTGTTTGCTGGTTGCTACGCTTTTGCCTGAATCCAAGGAGAGCCTCTGAATCTATAGTCTCAACAGAGTGTGGCTTGTCCAGAGAGGCTGTGGATGTGCCCCAGCACCCCAGAGGAGAAGCCGAGTCTGAGCAGAGCCTCCCTGGAGAAGATGCCCTCCTCACCCATGTTGATCTTCATGGTCATCTTTTTCCTGGAGTTGTTGGCTGCCATGCTGCAGAATGGCTTCATAGTTACTGTGTTGATCAGGGAGTGGGTACAATGCCAGACACTGCTTGCAGGCGACATGATTGCGGTGGCCTCCCTGGCCGCCTCCCGGTTCTGACTGCATGGGATGGCCCTCCTGAACAACCTCGTAGCCTTCTTTGGTTTTGGTCCCAAAATACAGTATTTCAGCATCCCCTAGGACTTCATCAACTCTCTTACTTTCTGGCTTACTGCTTGGCTTGCTACATTCTACTGTGTGAAGATCTCATTCTTCTCTCACCCCATCTTCTTTGGGCTGAAGTGGAGGATTTCTCGGTCAGTGCCCAGGCTGCTGCTGGGCTCCCTGATCTTATCTGCTCTGGTAGTCATCCCATTAGGCACTGGGAACACAATTCGTGTGCAGATGGTTGCTTCCCAGAGTTCTCATGGAAACAGCACCCTGGCTGGTAGAATACAGACTGTCTCTTTGTACTTTTTTCTACCTCATGTAATTATTATGCGGTCAATTCCATTTCTCCCGTCCCTGGTGTCCACCCTCTCGTGTTCTCGCTGCGCCGGCACTTGGGGCAGATGAGGGACCATAGACCTGGCCCCGAGTGATCCCAGCACCCGGGCTCACACCGTGACCCTGAAGTCACTTGCCTTCTTGCTCATCTTCTACCATCATATTACCTGTGCCTGATTATTGTTGTTATAAACATCCTAACCCTCTGGAATCACTGGCGCTGGGCCTGGGAAGTGGTGACCTGTGCAGGCATCTGTCTGCACTCCAGCATCTCGGTGCACAGCAGCCCCAAGCTGAGAAAGGCCCTGACGAAGAGGCCTTGGAGAGCCCTGGGCAAGGAGCAGTTTGTCTCATCAGTGTCAGTAACTGCTGTCACTGGACAAGCCCATGGGTGGCAAGAATGCACAAGGTTTGGGTGTTGTCCTCTCTGTTCATTTCCTTCTTTCTTCCCCACTCTTTCTACACCCCATTAATTCTTTTTCCACTCCTCTCTGTTTCTACCCTCCCTTCCAGTGGTCCTAGCCCCTCGTCTGGGTCCCAAACCACCTTGGACTAGAATGGTGGCCTCATTTCCTCACAGGCCTCTTTCACTCTCTACGTAAGCAGCCCTAATAATATATTCTCCAAGGATCATTTTGGTCTGTATTCCCTTTACAGAGACCTGTAATGGTTGTCAGTTGTTCTGTGGTCAACCTAAAGTTTTTTTTGAATGGTGACATACGTTGTCTCACACCATCCCACACCACCCCACACCATCTCACACCATCCCACACCACCCCACACCATCTCACACCATCCCACACCACCCCACACCATCTCACACCATCCCACACCACCCCACACCATCTCACACCATCCCACACCACCCCACACCATCTCACACCATCCCACACCACCCCACACCATCTCACACCATCCCACACCACCCCACACCATCTCACACCATCCCACATCACCCCACACACATCAATTGCCCTCCTCAACCTTGCTGTGCTCTCAGGGCTCAGTCTCTCTACTTCAGCCCAGGGAAGCTTCTCTCTGTCTCCCTGCATGCTCTTCCCTGCAGGCTGTGGTCTTTTGGCCCATCTGGAACTTCCTTCTTTCCTTTCTCTGCTGTTTTTTGCCATTCCCTTCTTTTGTGCCCTGCTTAAGACCAGTTCCACCCATGGAGCTTTTTCTTTTGAACAATTGATGTCTGAGGGCATGTATGAGTTTTGTGCCACTATAGGACCTGCCCATGGTTTTGTGTGTTCAGTGTATGTTGAATTAAAAGGAATTTTCTGATGTGGAAATGCTTTGGCCAACAGAAGATAGAAAAGGAAAACAAAGGAAATTTGCTGTAGCTTAAAATTTTGAGAATCTTACCCTTCCTGTCCACTCATCCAGGAGGTGGACCCTGGATGCCGATGTCTAGGATGGTAGTCTCTAAATTAGGGTGTTTGCATCCCGGAGTGTGTTCAAAATGATCCATTGGGTGTAGAAAGAAAAGCGTGACAATTTCCATTTCCATTTCCATTTATTTTTATCTCATCCTTTTAATCCCTATTTCTGATATGTGTTTTATGATGTACATAATGTATTAGTAGAGTATTACAAGCATATAATTAAAATAAATAAACATGCATATGGTGGAATTCATGTTCATAATTTTTTTTTTTACCTGATGGAGTTTACTATAAAAAAGTGTGGAGACCAAGAGACCAGAAGAGATTGGGAAAAACACCATACATGGTTAACAGATTTATATGTCTGAGCTAATCAAGGTAGGAGTAATAAACAACAGAACAGAGTAGAGTTTACAAAGGATTTTCAAGTAAATAACTGCATTTATGATAAGTTGTCCAACAGTCTTGGGAGCTGAGACCCCAAAACATTTCTTGGGAGCTGAGACCCCAAAACATTATGTTGTAATGCTAGCTGGAGGCTGAGCTACGGCAAGAAGAGCAAGAAAGAGGAACAGAGATGAGGTAACAGGGTGAGGAGTTTTCACTTGGAAGAAGATGATTAGGGCTTTAAAAGAGGAGATTCCCAAATTGTAGGAGAGGAGCACAAGGGATTTCCCAAAGAGTAGAGAGAGGGTGAAGCTGGATAGAGGAAACTGTGGAAAGCTGGGACTATCATAAAGAAATTTTTTCTTTTTTCCTTTTTTTTTTGGCAGCAATATGAGTGAGCTGGGAGGGCAATAATAAATTGCGGGGACTGAATTTTGGGGCTTAAGCCACAAGAGGGATGGGTGGAGGCAGCAAAGGCAGGAGCATCAGGGATGTCACCTGGAAGACTGGCTTTACCTTGGACAGAGCTCCAGAACTTTACTCAATGTCTTGGGTGGGAGGGGAATGGTGGTGTGACTCTCATGTTCTGCAACATTTTCACAGCCTTTTGATTTATGCCAGGACTAGTGGGCTTATCTCAGGAGTTTTTAATGGGTTGATGTTCTCAACCTCCGTTTCCTAGGCTCTAGCTCATAAGAGCCCATAAACATTTGGTGGCCCCATCTTGACCAAAGACACAGCCTAATCTCTCATCCTGACTTTCAGAGCCTTCTGGGATCTCTCCCCAGCCTGCCTTTTCAGCCTGATATGCCACCATTCCCTTATGGAAATACTCTGCTGTAGTCAAACTTATCTATTTCCTGGACATGACCACACTTCCGTCTCCTTTACTGGTGTCATCTCTCTGTCCTTTCAGCATACAGGACAGCACCTTTGCTGTCCCACAGTGAAGGGGCTGCTGACGTTACTGAACTCTTCTCAGAATTCTTGGCATGGAAATAGGATGACACATACATTTAGAACCACAGCCTGGGAGTGCTCCTTTTTTATCCTCTGAGAGAGAGAACTGAGCTAAGTGTTTCCCACACAGACAATGTACTCAGGATTCCTACCTCTACCACCCTCATGATCATACGTACAAAGACTACCTGTGAAAATTTCAAAATTCTCAGACTTGGCTTCCACCAAATAAAGTCTGAGAAAGCAAAATGTAACAAACAAAAAGCACAAGCAACAAAAGAATCACCATAAAACATATTCCATGTTAAAAGACAAATGATTGTTCACACTTTTGGATTAACTTAATCTGCACATAGCCTATGTCCAGTAAATGTTTGTGGTTTATGATTAGTGCATGAAAGCACTTTGAGGGCAGATACCTAGTTCATTGTTACAGCCCCAGCACCTTTCACAGGGTCATTATGATATACAGGAGATGCTTATTAATTGTTGTTGGTCAAATTGAGGGTTAACAGCATATTTTTCCCATTATATGAGCCATCAAATATGTAGGAAGTAGATGGGAAAAGATATAAATTTTCCATATTGAGAACTTTGTGGCTGGCCGGACGCCAGAGCTACGAGCTCAAAGTTTGCTTTATTGCTCCGTGTTCCAGGAGCAAACAGCCAAATGTCAGCCAGAGAAACAAGGGCAGGGTAGAGAGCAGCTGGGAACTTATCCCCTGGAGATTTGCATCTTCTGAGAAAGGCAGAGTGAATTAGTCGCCTTAGTTCACCTCTCCTTTCCCCAAGATCACCATGTTCACTACTACAGCAGGGCTTCTGTCTTGGAAGGACAGTTCTACCTGGACCTTTGTCTCAGGTGAACTGGGAACTAGAAAGAGATGCTGACAGTTCTGGATTCTGTTCTGTCTTTGTGGGATTCTATGCATGGAAATAGTAAGCTATGGTGCTGGTCAGAAGATGAGTGTTCTATAAAATACTCCCTCACTCTCATGTTACTTGATCCTGAGCCTTCACTATTGCCATAGCTGACCCAGAACCCTTTCTGCTTGCCTTACTCTCTGTGACCCATTAACCTGCTCACACGTACCTGAGTAAGTAAGCACTCACCTGATGGCTTTTTTTTTTTTTTTTTATTCTTTGAGCCTCATTCCTATTGAAAATGTGGCCTTTGCTTACTCCACCTTCCTCTAATTAAAGCAGATATCCAGTATTTGGTGCCTTGGACCTCTATTGCATCCCTGATGCTCTCCTGAATTTTCCTTGGACTACTTGTCCCTCCACAGGGTGGATAGCATTATAATAAAGCTTGTCATCACCACCTTACTTATTTCTTATACATGTGTAGAGATTGCTAGTTTCCACATATACACCCATATATGTGTGTGTATATATATTCACATATATTTGTGATCCATATTTTATAGATGAAGAAAGTGGGGTTCAGAGAGGTTAAACGACTAGTCCAGAGATCCATAGGTAGTGACTGTGACAAAGCTCAAAGCCTGGTCTTCTGACTTCAGCTGCGGATGAAGAAGATGGGATACAAGCTGTGCTGCTAACTGTGCACAGATTGCTGGTCTTGGAATCAGTTTGGGTCTTGGTCTTTTCTCCAAACTGTGACTTTAGGTGGGAGTCTTAATCTATAACTTGAGGCTTCGTTTATTCATCTATAAAATGATTTAATGTCTTTTTTGATGTTTCTAATGTTTAAAAAAATTTTTTTTATTGGGGTATAGTTGTTTTACAATGTTGTATTAGTTTCTGCTGTACAGCGAAGTGGACTTCCATGTGCTATACAGCAGGTTCTTTTTGGTTATCTATTTTATACATACTAGTGTATATATGTCAATCCATTTAATGTCTTCTTTCACTCTGAAAACTGAGATTCTAGTCCTAGAATCTAGTCTTATCCTGTGAATTAGAACAGATGATACTTTTCACATCATACAGATGGAGAAACTGAGGCACAGAGGGGCCTACTGACATACCCAGTAACTCACAGTGATGGTGGAACTAGGACTAACACTTGCCTTGGTTCCTAGCCCAGAGTTTTTCCTGCCATAGCCCATTAGTGCTATAGCTATCATAGTAGGCTTTACTATATGAAATGCCCTTTAAAGGTCACTAATAAAATACGGTTAAAAAATTCACTTGCTTGATTATGTATAATTGTCTGCTGTGTTCTATTTGATGATAACAGTCACCACAAGTAATAGCATTTGAGTTAACCTCTCTCAGTAGAGGTTTTGTTCAGTTTTCTGCCTGTCAAAGGGGTTTTCTAAAGGCACTTGCTTCATAGGGTCATTGTGAGAACTGAAGACAATGAAGATCACTTAGAACAATGCCCAGAACATACCAACCAACCAAGGATGTGAGCTCTGACTGTTAGTAGCAGGTGTGCTCACTGGATTTCCTCACAGAGCAGCCAGTAGGTGTGTGGTCATATCTTAGGTGTCAGCTTAGAGAGGTCTAAGCTCCCATGTAAGGGATGCTAAATGCAAGGGCCTGATATAGTATCCACAGCAATGTTGATATAGGCAGACAGTAGGCAGAGGAAGGACAGGCAAATTCATGGGCAGGCAGGGGGACTTTTGAAACTGAGCCTTAATGATATTTGCATCTATTCAGAGAAGAAGAAACCTCTTCACCCTCCTCAGGTAGCCCACATCCTCTACTTTATCCTCTGTATGGAGGGAAGCTGGAGAGACCAGCATCATACAGGACCTTCCAGAGACACCCTACAGGAATAGACTTTGAAGTCTTGGGACCCATCTTGTCTGCAGGAGAGATGAGTGGAGAGGACATGGTTCCAGGACCTCAGTTGGCTGATAAGATAGCCTTTATCTTTGCTATCATTTTATTCCTTTTGTGCTTGGTGGCAGTGGTGGGTAATGGCTTAATCACCGTGGCACTGGGCATGGAGTGGTTGCTGCAGAGAACTTTGTCACCCTGCAATAAGTTATTGGTCAGCCTGGGAGCCTCTAGCTTTTATCTGTGATGGGTGGTGATAAGAACATTTATATTTTCCTGAATCCAGTAGCCTTCCCATACAACCCTGTATTCCAGTTCCTAGCCTTTCAGCGGGACTTCTTGAATGCTGTCACGTTATGGTTGTCCACCTGGCTCAGTGTCTTCTACTGTGTGGAAATCGCAACCTTCACCCACCCTGTCTTCCTCTGGCTAAAGCAGATGGTGTCTGCATTGGTTCCATGGATGCGGCTCAGCTCTGTGGGGTTCTCCAGCTTTAGCACCATTCTAGTTTTCATAGGCAACCAGAGAATATATCAGAACTATTTAAAGAGGGCTCTGCAACCTTGGAATGTCACTGGGAATGCTGTGAGAACATATGAGAGACTCTGCTTCTTCCCTTTGAAAATTGTTACCTGGACAGTCCCTACTGTTGTCTTCATCGCTGGCATGGCTTTGCTCATTAACCTCTGGGAAGACACACCAAGAAGGTCTCCCTGTCCATCTCAGGCTCTCATGATCCCAGCACCCAGGCACACATCAAGGCTCTCCTGGCTCTCATCTCCTTTGTCGTCCTCTTCGTTTCCTATTTTCTGTCACTGGTGCTCAGTGCCCCAGGTGTGTTTCCATCACGGGAATTCAGGCACTGGGTGTGGTGGCAGGCTGTGATTTATCTGTGCACAGTAGTCCACCCCATTGTTCTCTTCTTGAGTAACCACAGACTGAGAGCTGTGCTAGAGAGGGGCTGCTCCTCAGGGCATGGGGCATCTTGAGTTGCTTTGATGAAGAGCCTCAGAGACTCTACTGCAGAAGGCCTGGGTAGAATGGGACATTGCTTCTTTAAATCTCTTTGCCACATTTAATGTTCTTTCCCTCTTTGATGCATTTCATGATTTCAGGATTTCAAGGTGAGATGGAATGTACTGAACTAGTGGTCTAGTGTCACTGATTTCTACTCAGCAAGGGTGTAGCTGATATAGTAAATGTTTCCTGTGGGACTTGATGTGGCCAAAGAAGCAGGAAACTTTTATTTTCCCTGTGACTAAGCTCGGTGTTTAAAATTATCCCTCTGGAAACTGGATGCAAGGATCTGGACACATGATTCACTTTTTTTAAAAATTATTTTATTTTTATTTATTTTTGCCTGTGTTGGGTCTTTGTTGCTGCACGCGGGCTTTCTCTAGTTGCGGCGAGCAGGGGCTACTAGAGCAGGGGCTACATTGCATCGCGCGGGCTTCTCATTGCAGTGGTTTCTCTTGTTTTGGAGCACGGACTCTAGAGCGCAGGCTCAGTAGTTGTGGCGCATGGGCTTAGTTGCTCCGTGGCCTGTGGGATCTTCCCGGACCAGGGCTTGAGCCCGTGTGCCCTGCACTGGCAGGTGAATTCTTAACCACTGCACCACAGGGAAGCCCACGATTCACTTTTTATCTGTTGAATCAGACTGGAGAAGATTTTTGGAAACTCAATTTTCCTTTGGCTTCATCCTGTAAAACCATATTTCCTTTTTCATCCTTAACTGATTTCTAGCCATCTAGTGCAGTGAAGCTCTCTTTCCTTTCATGCAAGAGTTCCTGGTGTCTGAACTCCCTTTACAGAGCATGGTGTGATTTGTGCATGTGTGCAGCTGTGTGTGTTACCTGGGATTTGTATATTCACAGATTACCTTTTGAGATTCCCCTGAATTCTAGGGGTTTATGATTTATATACGGTTTATGTCCTCTACAGTAGCTCAGTCAGTTAGTCTCTTCTATAAATGTTAAGGTCCATGAACCCAGATGTGACTTCTTTTATTTTCCCATTGGGACCTACTAAAATTTTTGACATGGAGAGGTTCATCTGTTTCTGATGCGTAAGATTTAAGAAGGCGGCTCCCGTCTTGGTTTGGTGAAGCATGTAGACTGCTTTTCTGCCTTTCACAGATTTTCTCAAACTTTCTTTAAGCTCAGTGACCTCTTGAATCATTCAAACTGAGATCCCTCAATGTCCCTGTATTTGCTTTGAAATCTCTCAGCCTCATTTCCTCTTTTTCCTCCCCTTTCCCTCTGTATTAGAAGACAGGTCCCTGCTTTTGGCTTTTCAGGGCTAACATTCATGCTATCCTAGCCCCATGCTCTCCTGCCTCTTTTCTGTCCCTTGCTGAGTCAAGAATTCCCACTTCTACACCAGTCCTCAACCTTTTCCTCTTTACTGTCCTTCCCTTCTACAGTGTGCCTCTTACCTTCCCCCCGCAAAAAAAAATCCCCTCCACTCCTTCACTCCCTCAGGTTATCATCCTACTAATTAGTCACTTGCTGAGAGTCTCTCCATGGGCACTTACAACCTCCTGCTGCCTTTTCTGTTGAAATGTGTTTCTAAAGGACGTACATGAGTTCCTGATCCCTAAATGTGGTATTATCCTCAGCCCCCATTTTCATGTGTCTCTGTAGTATTTGCCTCTCTTGATAAAAAATGATTTCTTAAAAAAATGGATTAAAGTATTTTACAAAAAGTAATACCTGATTTTGGTAGAAGATTTTAAAGCAGGAAAATAAACATCACCAGTAATTGCTTACCCACATGTCTTCCTAAAAGTCCTTCTCTTGGCCTCTCAGATGCTGCACTAAGTTCCGTTCCCTGCTCTGTGGCTCCTTTCGTGTCTTCCTCACTATCTGTTCATCATCTTGACTCGGTGTTTTCCTTCACCAGCCCTCTTCCTTCCTTGGCATGAATCTTCTCTTTTTTCCTTCATGTTTACGTCTACTCACGTAGTTTCAATTATGACCTTCATGTGAATAATCACCAAAGCCTTGACCTTCCTCAAAACTCTAAGCCTATATTTTTTTCTGCTTGCTGAGCATTTCTGTCTGATAGTACCATGAGTACTTCAAACTTAGCAAGTTTGTAACAGCTGTCCTTTTTTTCTTCCTCTTCCTTCTTTCCCTCCACTGCCCAGTTGAATCTGTTTTTTTCTATTATTGATATCTAATAAATCAGACTTACCAACTCTGAGTTAGTTTTCACTCCTCACTCTCCACTGAACCCTTCTATCTAATCAGCAGCCTGTCTTCAATTGGTACCCTTGTAGTATGTCTATTACCTGTTCCTTTCTTCCTGTTCCTGTAGATCCTACCTTAGGTTAGACTGTCCTCTTCTCCCACCTAGACTGCTTATATTTCTTTTTCACCACTTGCTTCATTACAGTGCCTTCTCTCCCACACTCCCCCGACCCCCAATCAAAAGTACCATTACCAGATTGATCTCTTGACAATTTCACCCACACCCTTATCACTGTTCAGTGCCTATCAATTAAAGCACATGTCCCTAAATTGGCATTCATGGACCTCCACAATGTGGAAATAGTTTTATCTTTCGCTGCTTCCATTCTAGTAGAACCAACCCTATTTTGCAGCAAAATTTGGGTTATCATTGTTCTGGACATGCCTGGAACTTCCTCCATGACGTGCTGAAATGTGTTCTCTTATCCCACATCTACCCGTCAAAATCCTATTTAATTTTTTTTCTTGTTTAATTTTCTTTTTTGTGGTACGCGGGCCTCTCACTGTTGTGGCCTCTCCCGTTGCGGAGCACAGGCTCCGGACGCGCAGGCTCAGCGGCCACGGCTCACGGGCCCAGCTGCTCCGCGGCACGTGGGATCTTCCCGGACCGGGGCACGAACCCGTGTCCCCTGCATCAGCAGGCGGACTCTCAACCACTGCACCACCAGGGAAGCCCTCCTGTTTAATTTTAAAGGTTAATTCAAATGGCTTCTCTTCAGGGAAGCTTTTCTGGATGCCCCCACACCTCAAGCTTTGATCTCTCACTTCAGAGGACATACAAGTGGGGTGTTGCTCAGTTGTGACACGAATTCTGCCTTGTGGTGGTATGATCTGTATACTCATTTTATTCTCCTTAGTAGATTTTAAAGTTTTGGAAAGTGTGGGCTGCCTCATATTCTATCATGTGTCCCCTGAAGCACTTATAAATACTTGCTACATTGAACAGAATGGTTCTCTTGCATCTGGAATCCAGCTGTAAGCACATGTACTTTTGTCTGTATATATATATAATCTGGGCTACCCACTACTACCAGTTATATTTTTATGGTTATATTTGAGCTGTATGCCATTCACTGTCTGGCCAGCTTATTTTTGGAGGTCAAACATATATTCTGTTTCTCTTGAGTTATGCACAATGTAGGAATAATAAATGGATGAGAGTAAAATTTGCCTGATATTGTGATACCTTTACCTTCCTTCTTTCTTATGCATTTACATGTTGCTAAGCAACTGTGAAGCTCCTACCTCTGGAAATATAAGGGAAGTGCCATTTCTCCCCTTGGTTACTGACCCAGTGGACCTTTCCTAAGCAAACTGTCAACTACTCTTTGTTCCTTCCACTCTATATTATTAGGCTAGGAGATGGAACATCTACCAGAATCTGCATGATCTCCCCACAGGGAGAAGTTCCCTTGGAACTTGAACACACAGGGAAATATAAAAGAGAAGTAGGATTTGTTGTATTTTTAAAATACCTAGTAATTATAAAGCAGAAACTAACACACCATTGTAAAGCAATTATACTCCAATAAAGATGTTAAAACATACCTAGTAATATTATCATTAATTTTTGCCTATAGTCTAATTTCATCATGCTTTATGATGGTATTAACAGTCATTTGTGAATGCTTATCTTGCGTGAGGCATGGGGCCAGAAAATTTATTTACTTATATCCTTTATGTACTTAATTCTCAAACAAACACTGCAAAGTAGAAACTGAGGTTTAGAGGAGTTTACTGAGGTCTCATGGTCAGTGTATGATAGAACTGTGATACTTTAGTGCTATAATATGTAAAACAGTGTGTTACTGGTATAGGAATAGGTAAGTACGTCAGCAGACAATCCAGATAATAGTTACATGGAAAATTATATTTGATAAGTAAAGCATTTCAAATCAGTGTGGGAAAAGATAGTCATTTAATAGTGTTGCAGCAAATATAGAGCCAACATTTTATCCTAGATCCTACATAGGTGATCTTTAATGTAAATGTTATTTAATTTTTTAAAAGCTTCCCTTTCTTGATAATTTAATTTTCTAATGTTTTATTCCATAAAATACTGCCTTTATGTTTTACAGAAATATTGACTCTTTTCTCCCCACCCTTTTGGGTGTCATCAAGAGTATGTATTACCCTTCAGCTCCTACAATTCTAAACCCCTGTTTTCTTAGGTCTTCTTAAGTCAGACTCAAAATATTGTCATAATGGAAATAATTGGTAAATTTGACTACAGAAAAATTTTAAACTTTTAAAAACAAATTCTATAAATGTAAGGATCACTGAAGTCCTTTTCAATTTTAAAGGACAAGTAACAGAAAGGTAAATCTAATATCTCTAATATACAGAGAGCTTCTACAAGTCTATAAGAAAAAGACAGGCAGACTAATAGAATGTTGATTAATGATAAAAATATATAATAAAGATTGCCAAGTAAACATGTGCAAATAAGATGATCATCACTGTTGAGCAAGGAAATGCAAACGAAAACAACAATAAGACTTCTGCTATAAACACAGCTGCATAAGTCTGTGTTTTTCCCTCTTCTTTCCCTGGAAAGCACAGAAGAGCAATAGGAAGTTGAAGAAGACTTTGAAAACTGCATTTTCAGTAAAGCAAAGAGACAGATAATCCAGAACTTCAAAATATGTGATAACCACTGCCAATCACAGATGAGCTCAGTTAAAGTCAAGAAAGAAGGTAAAAATAAGTATGAAGAGAAGTGAGAGGGCCCAGTGGGGACAGAGATAATATTCCAGCACAAATACACTTTCTGCAGAAAAGAGACACCTTGAAATGCAAAAGCCCCTTAGTATGCATGTGTTAGTTACCTACTGATGATCTATCTCACAAATTGCCCTGACACTTGGTGGCTTAAAACAACCTTCACTGCAAACTCATAGCTCCTGTAGATCAGGAATCCAGGCACATGATAATACAGTTGAGAATTTCAACTGTATTCTCTGGCTCTGGGTCTCACAGGCTACAGTCATCTCCAGGCTCAACTGTGAAGGAGCCACTTCCCAAATCACTCACATAGCTGTTGGCAGGATTCAGTTTCTCCTGGGTTGTTGGACTGAGACATCAGCTCCTCATGAGCTGTTGGCTGGTGGCCTCCTTAAGTTCCTGGCCACATAGCCTTTTCCATAGATCAGAGTGAATAAATGGGAAGGTGACACAGAAAGTGTCAGCAAGAGAGAGTGCCAGCAAGATGGAAGTCACAGACTATTGTAACATAGTTAATTATTTTTTTCATTATTGCTCATAGGTAGTAACCAACAGATTTGATCAAAAGAAGCAGAGGACTAAGAAAATTATATAAAATTATAAAGGTAAGCACTAGAACAAAAAAACATACTTTCCTTAGAATTAATAAAACCACAAACAAAAATGAAGAAACGTGCAACAAATATAAAAATCCTAAAGAAACCCTTTAAAAACAAAACACAAAACATAAAATAATGTGCTAGAACTAAGACTAAGCATATTGGATATATAATTAAATAAAAATGGGCTTTACACCTAAAAGACAATGGTCTTCAGATTGTCTAAAAAGCAAAAACAACTTTATGATATTTCTAAGATCCATAAAAAAGAGAGAGTTGAAAATAAAAGAATGAAAAATAACATGTCAAGTAAATGCAAACAAAAGAAATTTAAACCTAAATGATCAATGAGATAACAAGATAAGTTTTTAATGTTAAGAGGTAAAATGCAAAATTAAGATAGATTGGTGTGAATATATGATAAATAACATAGCAGCCTTATTTATAAAGTACAAATTACAAGAAATATAAACAGAATCACTAAAAGACTTTACCTTTGTCAAATAGAGAAAAAAATAAATATAATCAAATAAATTAGCTTTTATTGATAGATGTCAAACGTACACACTCAGAAAACACAACTTCTTTGCAAATACCAATGGAATAGTCATGAAAACGAGCCTAACAAACAAAAAAAATTAGAAAGCAAAGTCCAGCAGTACGTTAGATCATTATCAAATAGAGTTTAATCTAGGAATTAAAGGATGATTCATTGTTAGCAAATCCATTAAATTATCTTATAAATAAATCTAAATGAAAATTCATATAACCACCTTCCAAAATGCTGTCATTTGAAAAAATTTAATATGAATTTTGATAAAACACTCAATAATATATGTATTCAATAACGGTGCGTATATCTATCTCAGCAGCATATTTAATGAATTTAGACATTCTTACAAGACTCAAGATATTAAAAGAATGAGTACTGTGACCACTATTTACATTTTTTTTTTGGCGGTACGCGGGCCTCTCGCTGTTGTGGCCTCTCCCGTTGTGGAGCACAGGCTCCGGACGCGCAGGCTCAGCGGCCCATGGCTCACGGGCCCAGCCGCTCCGCGGCATGTGGGATCTTCCCGGACCAGGGCACGAACCCGTGTCCCCTGCATCGGCAGGCGGACTCTCAACCACTGCGCCACAAGGGAAGCCCTCCCACTATTTACATTTTAAAGTGATAATACCTAATGTAATCAAGAGAAAGAAATTAGTTATAGACATTGGAAATGGGAGGCAAAATATAGGTTTGCATAGTTGAAAAATCCAAATAATCAACGTTAAAAACTACTATAGAACAGTAAGAATTTTGTAAAGTAGTGGGGAGAAAAATAAATGCACAGAATTCCAAATTTTCTAATATATACAAATAGTCACCAGTTAGAAGATAGAATGAAAGAAAAGATTCTATTTGCAATAACAACAAAAAGACAAAATACTTTGAAATAAATTTTATGAGAAATATGTAAGACCTACATGAAGGAAGCTTTAAAGCACTCAGGAAAACATGGAAGAAGATACGAATCAATGGAATACAATACCATGTGCTTAGATGAGAAGGCTCAGTACTGTAAAGATGTCAGCTACTCTTAAGTTAATTTCTTAATTTAATGTAAGACCTATAAAAATGCCAACTTTACCCCTCTTTATAAACCTATTTAAAAAAGGGCTAACATCTAAGGCTATTATGGAAGCTGGAAGGAACATCCCCCCCCAAAAAAAGGTAGATAAGCTCTGTCATACATTAAAAACCATGGTTTGATTTGT